AACTCTCTGCAAGGTGCCCGAACTCCCTACTTAGTGGTCGAACTATCTGCAAGGTGCCCGAGCTCCCTACTTAGTRATCRAACTCTCTGCAAGGTGCCCGAGCTCCCTACTTAGTGATCGGACTCCCTGCGAGGAGCCCGAACTCTCCCTTTTGACCMSGAGTCACACAAAGCAGAGACYCRAACTGGCCCGTCTTATGACAGTTCGGGGCCTCCCCTTATCCGAACTCGAGACTTTGCCTCACGCACCACTCCAGGCACTTCGCTTCCGGAGCATTGAACTGGACGAACCACGCCGTACCTGACACCGAAGGAGTCCGTATCCAGGGGCGGCGCACCTGACTTACTTAGGACCTGACGCTTGACGGCCGCATTTCCAACGGCCACCTGCCATTGTCACTTGTCACCACTGCCTCCAGTTACAGAGACGGCTCCGACAAAAGGAGCAGTGACAGTTCTACCCCAGCAGAGGCGATGATGCCCGAACTGGCAGAAGCACGGAAATACTCATTCCCGACCTAACAGGAGTCTAGGAGTGAGTGYGCGAGGTGGTTATAAAAGGCTCTCCACCCCCAAAGAGGAGGTATGCAAACTTTGCGCTATCTGATTTATCTTGCCTTTGAAGGATTCTAACTTAAGCTTCGGAGCCTTTACACCGGGTCCTCCCTGGAGCTTTCTCATCTCCTCCGTTTCAGGTTCTCTGTTACTCGGTTTAAAGGCAAGATCGCCGACAGCTAAGACCAGCCGGATTGCGCATCATCAATTTGCTTTACTTGGGCGGTGAAAGCTTTAATGGCTTGCTTAGTGCTCGGCGTGCCGGTGGTGTCCTAGTCTTCTCGTTCGTGAAGCGATCCACCGCCGAGCTGATTTGAACAAGCGATGCACGTCAGCATTTTGGGTCTCACTGATTGTTATCAATCGACCTTTGTCGTTCTTTTGTAATGTTGATGTCATTCAAAAAAGACAATTCGAGGAAGTCAGCTTCATGATGCCGGTGCTAGAGAACGACAATTCCACATTCCATTCTTTTGTAATGGAATGAAAACCAGAAATACCAACCGGCACTGTAATTGGTCACCAAAAACCCACCAACAGAGAGATGGGTGAAGCCGGAAACTGAAGATAGCCCTTTTAAAACCCCCAGCTCGACGACTCTAGTGAGGGCGAGGTGGGATCTGCTGGAAGAGTTTGAGGAGGTGGAAGACGGTGGAGGAATTTAGAGCTTGGCCCAATTTCAGCACCGCTTTACAACAGTGGCTGATCTCTCCAATAGTAGTCCAGTAACATGTAATGGCTTCCTTGGATTCATTATGCTAACAATTGTTGGATATAGACGATAACAGTGGTGACGACGGCAACGGAGGGACGGGGAGTGGAACGATTGTGGAGTGGTTCGCTGTAGCTGCTGCCAGGGAAAGGGATGGTGAAAGAAGAAGGGCACAATTAAATTTAAAAAAAAAAATTATATATCACGTGATGTCACGTGTGTATGTATTTAACAGACTGAGCTTTGGAGAAAATTAACGAATCAATTACCTTGGAGTATCGGACAATTAAAAATATCTGTATTTAGTATTTTATAATACACGCCGGTAGGTCCGTAGGTGTCAACTTTTTTTAATTTATTTTTCTTCCGACATGGCGACAAGGTGAGCGCGTTACACGTGATGGGAACGAAAACCTAGACGTGATTGGAATTTCGGGATATTTCCTGTGGGAGGTCTTAGCCTTAAAAAACCAGTGTCGTAACTGGTAAGCGGGGTCTTACTTTCGTCGGCTTTCCCGGGTAAGCTTTTGACTGTTTGGCAAAAATAAAAAACAGCCTGGTGCCGTTTGAGAGCTTTTCCTTCCCATTACATGTTACTTTATTCGGTCTTTCATTTGTCTTTTTTACCCTACACTGATGATAGCGTGTTATGTGCAGAATTCACAAACATCCTTAGCTGTTTTTACTAAACACCCAAAGTTCCCCCGGCTTTCCCCCTGTTTCTAAGAAACCCGGTTTCTATCTTTCTGAGAAGCCTCCGAAAATACTATTTTAATAGTGGCTGTGCAGCTCTTATATATTCCCGGCCATACTTCGATTCTGTTAGTCATAAGAATATCTCCCAAGTCCCAAGTGACGGAGAAAATCACTCAGACCCACCTGCCAAAAGAATCTAATTCCTAAAGCCTCCGATTTCCTGAGCGTGAAAGATGAGTGGTGGTGCACGAATTTGCAAATTTGAGACGGCCTTCAAGTCCATGCAGAAAAACGCCTTCACGGAATCCGGGAAAGCCAACCAGATCAGGCGGTTTTCCGCTACCATGGTTCAGGCTGCTAAGAGAAGAAACGGCGACGAAAAGCGGAGGAGAGAAGCCGAGAAGGCCGAGAATGTCATGCACTTGATCTGTTGGGGTCCCAATTAAGCCCAATCCTCATTTTCTTTTTCCTCCTTTTCCTTCTATTATATATCCTTAATTCTTTCTTTCTTTTCTTTTTCTGTGGCGAGCGAAAATACTATTTACAAGATGTTTGTGTTAGAAATTTGTAAAGAAGTTCTGTAAAATCACAAACTTCACTACCATATACTAAACGTGTTCATGTTCTTCTAGCTAACAGAATCAAGTTGGGTATAAATATGGTGTGATCATCGCAAAAGAAGTGGACCATCGATTGAGAAGTCAGAATTGATGCATATAACACCAAATATATTGTTTCAATCTATACATCGGAAATTGAATTCAAGCATAGACAAACCAGATGACACACTATCGCCTCATCTGATCCACATGAAATAAGAGCTTCTAATTTAAACACAGATAAATCTTTCTCTCCTCGACCTCGTCCTTTCTTCCCCTGTTTTACCCAGTTAACCAGTTATCAGAAGAAGAATGTTTTCATTCAAACATTGCAAGTGTCATTCCAATCTCCCTTTCTGATTAAACCTTGAAAGTTTTCGAAGTAAACCAAGGCTTTTTACCAAGGTATTAATTGGACCAAATTTTTGAGTAATGGCCATCACTTTTTGGTTTATTAAATTCAGTTGAAAATCTATCTCTAAATTCTGCAGCAAGGAAGGCTCTTGGGGGAAGCTAGTGGTAACTGGTGAGAGGGTGTCAAGGAGAAGAAATTAAAAGAGACGTAGTTTGTTGACCCTATAAGAAGCCGGTATGTGTTACTTCGGATCTGCTACCCACAAGTTCCCACATCCTTACGCACAGACTACCAGACGACGAGACCGGATCTGCTCCTCACCCAGAGCGCCCTCACACCGACCTCACAGGTACATTCCACCGTGTAGGAGCAGATCCCAATTCACAGAGGAGCACCGCGCAGCTGTAATGTCTCTCGTGGGTAGCAGATTCGAGCCCGGTATGTGTAACGTTTTCTTTTCGATTAACGGTGTATGTAACAGTGTAAAGAAAAATGGCGTGTTAGGAAAAAACAATAAACATTTTTCCCCCGTTCCCCCTTTTGCTGCCTGTATTTCACTTTTGTGAGCTCGCCCTAGCACTCGGAGATGAATGACGAGTTAATTCAATAACTCGGACTTTTTGATTCAGTAATTTTAAGTGCAACAAGAGCTGATAAACCATACATGATTATCAATATTCTACTAGAAAAATGCATAGAGCGTAGATATATTTGTATTTGTATTTACAAGGCATTGGTCATAATGCATAGAGCAGAGATATATTTATAAGGCAATGGTGACGATGGTCTTTGGTTCTAAACTTGAAAAGGTTAGAATTAGTAAAAAGATTAGGTTTTGATGATACGCAATTAGGCAGTTCCTTTTTGGAGTATAGTTCGGACGTTGAGCTGGCGAGTTCCTTGCTGGAAGGTGGTTTAGATAATGAGCTGGCTAGTTCGTTGGGTTGACCTGCAAAGAGATAGTGTCAAAGTGCTTGAGTTGTTTTGTTTAGGGTGGAAACTCGGATGCTTAAATCAGTAATGTGGAGATTTTAGAGAGAGCTAAAATGCTAGAGAGCTAATTTGTGCATACCTTTTGAGATTGAAAATAAGACTTTTATATAGGCGTTATTTGGCATAGGCTTCACACACTGCATCCGAGATCTCCGGGAAGACATGGCTGGCCGGTCCAAAGTCCTTAGAGGTAGTGGCAAACGTAGACCAGGCTTTGTGCCTTATTCAGTTTCCTTCGAAACATTCAGTGCACGAGATGACTTCCAGAAGACTCGGGAGTGACGAGATGCACACACGGAGGAGATCGGTGAGCATGTCTTGTGGGTCACCACCTGGACCTTAGTCGAGTCGACAAGTCCTCGAGGGAGGTCACTCCTTGCGTCAAAGTTCCTTGGACCGGTAACGACGAGTTACCGTAGGTTGGCCCTGGATGAGGTGCTCTTAGCTGCCTTACTGAGGTGCCCGAGTTGTGTATGAGGTTGCCAACTAGGTCTCTAGTAGGTCGATAGCTAGGTTTCCATCATTTTGGCTAAGGCAAGTCATCACTCTCGTTCTGTCGGGGTGTTGTCTAGCTATTCTGAGATGCCATGTGTTATGATGTCAGTGGAGGGCCAAATCTGCCCTCATCAATTCCCCCCACTCCCAAGACGAGGTTGGTTCGACGAAGGGAGTAGCTCACTGTAGGTTTTTGGTCCAGAATGACTAGTTCGATGAGCTCGTAGGCGCCGATCTAGTTTGCTCCCCAGGTAAAAAGAGTCTAAGGGTTGAATGCAGCCTTACGCAAGACTTCGCCGTCTTGATTATTAGGGCACAAGAGTGAATTCATTCGCTCGAGGAGATGTGGAGCAGGCACCCCGAGGACATCTACATTACTAGGGATGTAACCGTCAAGGAGTTGTATAATTCGGTCAGATACCTCAAGAGCGAAGTTTGTCATGTTGTCCTCAAGAGGGGCTTCCAACTGTGTGATTGCCTCATCGGGCCGCTCCACTTACGTAGACTACAATGCAATGTCCCTCAAGCCAGTTCTCAAAGGAGTAGCTGACAAGGTCGATGCGGAGCCTGAAACCAAGGTGGAAGATGATTGTGAAGAAATCGGCCAAGTTTACATGTCTATCACGGTGTTGAAAGCGAGCTAGTCTTCCTTTCCTTCATTTCTCTTTCCTTTTTTTTTTCAGGTCGACGTCCTTTGAGATCGATTTAAAGGGTCGACCTGCTTAGATCGGTCTACTTGTTTCCGACGTGTTTCGAGGTCGGCTTGAGGGAGCCTTAGCTAAAAAGTGGGGTGGCTTCCCCTTAAAATTTAGTTTGACAAGGTCCCTAAAGCGAATGGTCGTAATATTGGCTACCAAAACAGTGTCGAGCTGCCAAAGTATCCCAAGGTCGTCGTAGGGGGCCTTAGATAAAAGTGGTTTGGCTTTCCCTTAATTTGATTTGACCAGGTCGCCAAAGCAAATGGTCATAATTTCGGTCGTTAAAATGGCACCAAGTTGTCGAGCTGTCGATGTATCTCAAGGTCGGCGTAGGGGGCCTTAGCTAAAAGTAGTTTGGCTTTCCCTTAGAATTCGATTTGACCAGGTTGCCAAAGTAGATGGTCATTTTGTAGTAGCTTTAAATGCAGTTGCATCTATGACATCACGTGGGATTGACTCTCTCGTCAATGTCGCACATGTACTACACCTGCTCTTGGAATTGTTGGTTTCCCACTCCTATTGGAGACATGGGGGGATTACCTTGAGGGGGTGACTCTACTATCTTCAGGTTGCCTATTCTCACAAGAACCATGAAAGATTTGACCTATGAGGCCGGTTCCACATTCAGCTAGTTGCCAACTCTCATGAGAGCCATGAAGGGTTCGATCAGTAGTGAGGCTTTGAAGTTGGGTTGGGAGACAATTTGGGCCAAACTGCTGAAGCTCGCCCCAGCTAGTCATCTAGCTTCTGCCCCCTTGTGATATCATTGTTGATATGTGCGCCACTATTGGCACTTGAACGGCGGATCGGTGCTACAGCTACACTATGTCAGCCCTCGGAAACGTTGGTCATCTTCTCCTATGATAAGTCGTAAGGAGCTCAACCTGCAGGGACAACTCTATTAACTATAGGTCGCTAGCTTGCATGGGAGCCTTGAAAGGCTCGATCCGCAAGGGCAACCATAGAGTTTGTTGGTCGCCAACTCTCATGGGAGCGGTGAAGGGCTCGACCTGTAGAGGCAACCTCAGGAACAAAGTTGATGAGGCTCGTCCAGGCTTATTGCCGTTGAGTGCGAATTTAAAATGAGTTGAGAACCTAGATTTTAAGTGCAAATTTAAAATGAGTTGAGGTTGGTATGGCGGCTCCATAGTCTGTTGGCTATCAACTTCCACGGGAACAATGGAGGGCTTGACCTGTAGGGGTAGCTCCACAATCTATTGGCTGTCAACTCCCATAGGAACCATGGAGGGCTCGACCTGCGGGGATGGCCTCACAATCTGTTGGTCATCAACTCTCACAGGAACCATGGAGGGATCGACCTGTGGGTGCGGCCTCACAGTCAGGGTTGGGAGATTCTATTCGGGCGAGATTGCTGGAACTTATTCGGACTGATCATTTTGATTCTTCCCCCTTGCGGGAGTTCCTTCGATCTAGGCATTGCTATTAAATGTGCGAAACATTCGGTGTAGGAGCCGACTTCTATAAGACATGGGAGTGATGGGATGCACACACGGAAGTCGGCGAGCACATCTCGCGGGTCACCACCTGGACCTCAGTCGAGTCGACAAGTCCTCGAGGGAGGTCACTCCTCGCGTCGAGGTCCCTTGGACCAGTAACGATGAGGTACCACAAGTCGGCCATGGACAAGGTGTTCCTTCCTGCCCTGCCGAGGTGCCCAAGTTGTGTATGAGGTCGCCAGCTAGGTCTCCAATAGGTCGGTAGTTGGGTTTCTATCATTTTGGCTAAGGCAAATCATTGCCCCCATGGTGTCGGGGTGTCGTTCAACTTTTTTGAGATGCCACATGTCATGATAGCAAAGGGCCAATTCTGCCCTCATCAGGCTTCATAATAAATAATTTTGTTGAGTTGGACCGATTTCTAGTTATTGGGCCTAGTTATTTATCTTTTAATTTTTAAGTTGTTAAGTTAGGAAGTTATTAGGCTTTAGACCCATTAGTTTATGTTTTTAAGTTGTGATTGTTCAACTACTTAAGTAGCCGCCCCACTAAGGGCATTCTTGTAATCTCTTATTCTTTTAATTTAAGTATATAATACAAAGAGGGGTTGGCGGCCAGAACTAATTCAATTCTGGGCAACATCCCACTCACTTTTCTTCTCCTCTCTTCTTCTCTACTGCTAAAACTTTTCATCTTCCTCTTCTTTTCTTCACAAGGAATTCATCTAAAACTGCAAATCAATAATTTCTACTTGGTATCAAAGCAGGTCAAAGGTTCCTTGAACTGTTCTATCATGCAGCCCTAGATTGGCCAATTGCATGGTGATTTGAGAGGTTGATCAAAGACCTCAGGTTGTCCTAGTTTTTGGATTTTTTGGTGGATCTGTTTTGCCCTATAACTGGTCTAGGGTTTTCCATCAAATTCAAGAAAAACTAGAGAAAGGGGAAGAGTTCTATTTCTGTAGGACTCTTCAATTTTGACCTAGGAACTGGCACCCTAATTTTTTAGGGTTCCTTGAGTCTTCTAAAGGAGGCGATTCAAGTCCTACCTTTTTTGGAGGTCTCTAGAGAGAGCGACTGCCTCTTCTCTCTTTTCTCTCTCCCGCAGAAAAGGAATCTTTTGTAGGAGGAATATCTAGGGCATCAGAAGGGTATCTGTGGTACCAAAAGGGTTTTATTTCATATTCTTTCATCTTATAGTAACCTTCTAACCCTTTTTTGAGAATTATGGAGGGTAACGGAGTTGAAAAAAAACCCGAGAGTGAAATAAGATTAGTGAGAGGAGGTGTCAGAGACCTTTTTGGGGTTGTGACCATTACTACAGTTAAGTTGGATGGTTCAAATTACTTAGAATGGTCACAATCTGCAAATATGGCCATTGGTGCTCATGGAAGTTGGGGTATATCACTGGTGAGGAAGTGAAACCCGAAACTAATAGCTCCTAGTGGGTATAGGAAAATTATATGGTGATGACTTGGCTGTATAATTTGATGCTGCCCCATATAAATTTTTTTTTGTGGGCAAATACAAATAAGGAAATATTGGATGGGGTTGTAGAAACCTACGTACAGAGTGAGAATGTCGCTAGGACCTATCAGTTGAGGAATCGAATTATTGCTACCAGGCAGGGAAATAGACCTATTGCTATTTACTTTTTAGCCCTAAAAACCCTGTGGCAAGAGATTGACCATTTGGAGACAGTTGTTTGGGAAACCACTAAGGATGCAGCTGCCTACCAAAAGCTCCTAGAGAAGTATAGGGGTTTTGAATTTCTTGTTGTCCTTAATCCCGAGTATGATATTGCAAGACAACATATTCTTTCCAAGGACAATGTTACTCACTCCCAGTCATATGCCTTTGTATCAGGGGAAAAGAGCAGGAGAAATGTGATGATGAAAAATTTTGGTTTTGATCAATCAACCATGGTTAGTACTATGAAACCTAAACAAAGTGGAGATCGGGGTGATAGTGAAATCGGGAAGGAAGATGAGAAGGATTTGATTTGTGACTACTGTAAGAAGCCTAAACA